AGGCTGCCCACTTTACAGCCACGTCGCTATCTCGAGCCAGGAGATTGCTCGCGTCCTGCGCGTGGGCTTCAAGACCGGACTTGAGGCAATGACGGAAGGGAGGAGACCGAGGGAAGAACGACAGCACCACATGCGTGGAAGGTGACGGCTGAAATGTAAGGAGGGGGGACACTCGACGTGACCCCCGTGCTAAGCCAGGTGTACCACGATAAGGGGACAGGTGGCGCCGTCGCAAACACGACGCGCTGCTCGTGTCAACGCGGTGCAGCAGGGTTTCTCCTGTCCGTCATGGGTCTGTGTGCAGCATGGTGTGCAGCATGTTGTGCAGCATGGTGTGCAGCATGGTGTGCAGCATGGTGTGCAGCATGGTGTGCAGTACGCAGCCGGCCGTTAGGCGAACGCAACGTCTTTCGTTGCAACCCGATATCACTTCGCTATTCCAAGAAACAGCTCAGCGGTCGTTTTAGTGAACGCCCTTTCATTAAAGGAACACATTACGTACGAAGTTGAGGAATCAGGCGGTTCCGTTACAAAGGCTTTAGTAAATGCATCCCCGTCGACTTTAACACGGTTTTTAGCTTATATTTCGTTTAGGGGACATTTCACGGTCTTTTGTGTATGGTAGGATCTCAACAGGGAAACTAGAGGCAAAATTTACCACGAGCATTTTCACGTAAGGGGACACTCTCCAGCGCGTTAAGTACAGCTTTACCAGCAACCAGATACATACAAGTTTTATACAACCCAGTTATTAGTGTGCCCAGATATGCGTGGGGCATCGAATTGAGTGGAAATATTTTCCAAATATCTGGAACGTTTTTTTCAACTGCCACGGTCTTTATTTAAGTACATGTAGGGTGGCGTACCCAGTATGAATACGGCAACCCGATGTAAAAGTTTCAAAAGACTAGCATACGTAGGAATGTACATCGCGGTCAGGCATGCTGGCAGTGATTCAAAAGTGGAGTAGACGTCCTCCATCCTCTGACTCATTTCACAACCCCAGGGCAAGAGTGATGCGCAAACGGTCACTAGAGAACGGGAACCAAACAAGACCAGCGCCGGGAAACTAACACCGACACATTTAGTTTCCACAGCACATAAGCGCCCCGAGGCAGGGGAAATGTTTTACAAGTGAAGGCTGTCCAAGATGTCCGTGATTGTGGCTCGCCAACCGCAAGGTATACGTGCCGATGCCGTGACGTGCTGCTGTACGAAGCGCTGCGCGAGGCCCTAAGCTCATGCTTATCTTATAATCTTTCTGCCTCGCATACAAAGCCCCTTCTTCGCACTAAAATGACAGGGCAACCCATTCCGCACGTCGCTGTGCTACAAGAGAAACACTGGCGAAAGGTTGCTGAAAGACCTGACATGCATGCAATTGTCGAAGCAAAAAAGAATGACGAAGGCAGTGAATGAGAAATAGACTGAAGATATCATATGCATTCGAATCTCGTACGACGCATCATCAAGACCAAGACTTAATTCGTTATATCCAATATTCGTTGTAACAGTATGAAGACGAATGGGATCTAACAAATCGGCAAACTGAATCCCACAAAAATCCTAGATGAAAAACGTATGATTTCAGGCTTCAGACCCACTCAAAGCAACTTAATTCTCACTTATTTTCTTGTAGCATTTCAAATAAATTCAAAAGTAAGTAAAACTAAATAAACCGGAACATAAGACGGTGCAATTATAAAACAATAAAGTTCATCTGACAAAAAAAAACCTGTGTTAATATTTATCTGACGAAGGCTGTAATCTACTCCACGCGGTTATGAATTGTATCACCATTTATCTCACTTTTAAAGCTACCTCAGGAGTTTTGAGCCTAGCTCGATCCAAACATCTTTTCGTTACGGCCCATATCGCGGCGGCTCTCACGTTTTCGGTTTCGTTACAAGTACCAATAAAACAAAGCATGGCCAACCAAAGGCGGCATTAAATTCGCAACCGATAGTTCGCAATATCAGCGTTCGTTAATAAAGATGTCTAACTATAGTTATGTACAGCAAAAGACACACACGAGTCGGAAACGGTCAGGTGAGCGGGAAGTAAAGGAACGCCTTGTGGCAAGCGCTGCAGGAACTAAAATGCACGGTTCCGGGGACCACCCGTCTTCCCTTTGTACGAGCGCCAGAAATTGAAGTAGTTTTCAAAAAAAAAAAGAAACGCGTTCATCGTAGGGGGAAGCCTTGCTGCGACACAGCAAGACAACCAGTGCACCACCGAGACTTCGGAATGCGCCCAAGCGGCGCTTTCTGGTGACTTCAGACGACGTTCTGCAATGCTGGCCCCTCTCGCGTCCATTGTCACTTCCCTTCCGGAGATGTCCCAGTCTTCCCCTCCCTAAGACGGTAAAGGAGGAGGGGATCTCCAGGTCGACGAAAAAGGGACGCCATTTGTCCCCCGGAAGCGGCGGGCGACCAGGTAAACGCAAAGTACTTCCAGGCAGAAGCGACAGAAAAGATTCCAACGAAAAACCGCGATAACAAGAATAGGAAGGGAGGTAAAAGGCACGGCAGAGGAGCACACCGCCTAATGAGAGGTACGGCGCCGGGAGTAAAGCAGCTCGGGATTGGGGGAGCGTTTCTCGGGAAGATGGCCTGGGCCACACAAACGCGCCCTGGAAACTACCTCGGACCAGACGATCGCATGGGTTTTGCACTGTAAAAAGAAGGAATGTGGCGGCAGCAACTGCGGGAAAGAACGTTCAACCAAGAAAAAAAAAAGCTGCGCGCAGAACATTTTTTTGAAAATGTTGTCTAAGTCCTGTAATCACAAACTAACATCATCCTTATCTCGCGTTTTTCTGATTGGTTTGGTGTATCTAGTGCGCTCGACAAATCATGTAGGCCAGTTTTCTAAAAACCAATCTTTTATATCCTTTACCCTATTATCATTCTTGTGAGCTTACGATGCGTAAACAAACTCAAAAAGACGCGTGTCAGCTACCAACCACCTGCTGTTTTGTCGTATTAACTAGTGTGCTACCTAACAGTAACCTCTCCAAATTACAAAAAAGGTGAACATCTGAACCATAAGACTCGCGCGGTGACGGCAACACAAAATGAATGTAAAATGGGGACACTTCTCCAGAAGCTTTTGAAATCAATGGAATTATGTACCTCCAGGGGCAACATGCGTGAATGTTTAGCTCATGGGAATCTTTGTTGTGCGTTTGTTGAGAGGGCTCTAGTTGTGTTGTTCGCCATGTACTTCAAAACAATACCACTAAAGGAAACAAAAAAAGCTTTGGGCTGTAGTTTCCAAATCCAGCAACGCCAAGAAAATGCACTTTGTCTTTACATCTACTCCTTTAAAGCGTTTAATGCTATGCAACAGAGGGACGGACTGATGTTTCTCCTTAAGCACGCCCACAAACGCTTGGGCATTTAAAACGTGGCAGTCTCAGCTCTTAAGTGTAATCCCCACAGAGGGCGAAGAGACACGTTCGCGTTCGTTGCCCCAGCATGCGCTCAAGCCTCTCACCGGTTGGGACTACCGAAGGCGCTGCGATGGCAACCGATACAATTCGTAAATCAAGGGGTCCCCTGCAATGCGTTTTTCAATCGGATGCTCTCGTCACATTACACACTGCCTTCGTACATTCTGCAACTTACGTCGTTCAGTAGAAAGAACGGTGGTTAGCTCTGTTGTGCGCATTCGCAAATGAAGGAGTGAACCATAGGTGCGACGACACGGTCATTTCTTACAGAGAAAGGTTTCCGCGACTCTCGTCAAGGGGGCCCATCCATTACTCGGTAGGTTGTTTTTTACAGCGCGTACCACTATACAGCCACCACCAGAGCACCACCTTGAAACGCAGGCCATAAGCATGTTTCCGTTTGCGTCTCTCCCGTGCCACAACAAAAGCGAGAGAGTCGAGAGAGCAATCGCAAAAGGCAATTTGCCAGGCTATGTGGCCATCCCGGAAGCTAATGAAGCAAGACAAGTCGCTGCGCATGTACGCACGACGGTAATATTCAAGGCCTCGCGTCGGAAAGCAACTCGATACGCAGCAAACAAGTGCTGGTTTTCGTCGGTTCTCCGTATGTTATACGCTTCGCCGCGAACACTGTTAACTGAGACTGGTGTACCTGCGCTTTATACGGTACCAGGACATAAAAGCTCCTCTTGCTTGGCGTCAAAACAGCCTGATAACGCACAATTGGACAGCAGCAGTATAACACAATTACGTGCTTGCAGTGGTTACCAGCTAATAGGAGTTTTAAATTAGGCCCACAAGGCTTTGCATTACCGTATGTCATCACTGCACATGCACCGTATGGTTGTACGCTCGTTTATAGCTTAGCCCCGTTCAGTGACGAAAATAGCGTTCGTACGCAACGAACGCTGTCTTCGCGTATCCTACAGTGAAACTATCGCAGAACAATGTCGACGACTGCACGTGTAGCAGTTGAAACCAGCGCTATCCAGGCTCTCCGCAGCAGATGCCACTGCGCTGTCCTCCCAAATTCTCGTCCAGACACACGTAAAAACTATACACATTAAACAGCCCAACACACGTACTTTTGGACAACAATGGTAAACAGAACGTGAGCGCAAGCGTTTCTTACGGACAGAAGGAATGAATAGCACCACGAGAATCCGTTTGAACAGTGCTGCAAGGCAGCAGTCGCGCCTACGAGCGGCGCGCACGCAGTTCACCATGCGGAACGGCGCCTCTTTTGAAGGTGTTCCTAACGGCCGTTAAAACAGGAAACTTTCAGCTACATGTTCCTTCATAGGCTAAAGTTCTTCAAGATGCAGTTTAAGACTGCGGCGCAAGCACGCTTCGACAATGATCGCCGCAGCGGGCACACGCTATGCCCTAAGCACGCACAAACACTGCGACCACCTGCGCGAAGAAGCGCCTTCCGGCTACCTGACAAAAACGAAACTTCCAGACACGGCCGAAAAAAGATAATCTGTTGGAACATTCATTTTCTCTCATCTACGCGCACTTTCGATGGTCCAGCACTAGGCCTCACCTGTGAAGAGATGCCACCGGGAGAACAGTCCAGCGCACTTGACTCGATGCATGGTGCCCGTTGGGAATCAACGGAGTTTGCACACTTGGCCAAAGCACCGCGTCAACGCACACGAGAAGCAATCCTTCGGCAGTGTCAATGCACGCGTATTCCTCGAGGGGCTGACACAGGCGCGCGCGCGCTGGCAGTCACGACGCGTAGGCTGCCATCGCCGAAGCAGCAGCAACCACCACCAACACACGCGCACCGTCGACCTGGGCGAGCCGAGCCGACTGGTTCTTCGGTCGCCGTCGCCCCTCACACCGTCCACCAATCCCGCAGAAAACAGCAGCAACAACGGCAACGCTCGACGGCCCGCCAAAAGCATACACAACCGGTGCTGCCACCGTTCGCCATCTCTCGCAACCACGAGCCGGCGGCGGAAGGAGATGGGACGCCTTCTCACGTTGTCAAAGTAGCGAGGCGAAAAAGAGTCCGTGCCAATATGGTAACAAGCTTCCTTAATACTGTATATGAAAACTAGTAACAACTTGTAAATTTTTATTGTGTTTTTCAACACATTACGTACAGTGTTTCTAATTTGTTTTTAGGTGAAACATTCAGAACCTTGAAGCGGACTATTTGAACTCGGCTGTGGGCACTGTTTAGGCTCAGTTCCGGCCAGTGTAATACAGAGAGTTACCTGGCGTTCCTAATTATTTTAAGGCATAATTTACGTACACACTATGCACGCACGCGCCAAGGTTGCCATAAATGAAACTAACACATTCGTTCGGGCAACCTTTCAGTACAATGGTGCGTACGCAGTAGCACCGATGGCGGTACTTGTAAGACAGCTGTGTGGCGCCAATAATCAAGTAAGCAACCGTCGAAAAAATTAATGTTGGGTCATTTGTAAGGCATTAGGAGAGAACATTCATTCTGTGCTTACGACAAGAATCGTACGGACATTTATTGCTCATCTCAACTAATAAGAAATATGGTCCGCCATACCACGGACACTTTTCGATTGCAATCAGACCCCGCTTAGATTCAACCTCATCCTTGTGCAGCGCTGCTACCGATGTTCAATTGTAAACGCACGCTAAAAGATAACCACTCAGTCAGTTAGTTAATACGGTTATGTTCGTTTACTTCGCCCTCATGCGTTCCTTGCGATATGGCAGAAAACGGCCAAGCTATCATTTTTTTTTTTTGGATTTCGCACTAATACTTCTGCTCCTGATTGTAATTGCGGTGTCATAGATTACTCAGTCAGTTAGTTAATACGGTTATGTTCGTTTACTTCGCCCTCATGCGTTCCTTGCGATATGGCAGAAAACGGCCAAGCTATCATTTTTTTTTTTTTTTGGATTTCGCACTAATACTTCTGCTCCTGATTGTAATTGCGGTGTCACAGATTACAGATTATTATTATTAATAATAATATTATTATTATTTTATTATTCAATTTGTAGTTGTTACTAGAGGCCGATTTTCTGAAATCTCTAAGCGGCAATGGGTTTCTTGCATTAAGAACTTCGATTTTCCCACGTCTATGTCCACCAGTTAAAAATGTAATTAATTTCACTTTCCTAATTAACACACAAAATGATGTCGTCAACCGCTTTAAAATAGCGGCCGCTACAGCAAAAAAACAACAACTGTGATGACAGCGAGCAAATAGCGTCTTTTGCTGATTTTTTAAACAATATTGAACACACACAATATATATATATATATATATATATATATATATATATATATATATATATATATATATATATATATATATATATATATATGTATATATATATATATATATATATATATATGTATATATATATAACGCGTTCGATGCTCTAACCACTGAGCTATCACAGCGGCCGTCCCCCCATCCACTTTTTGGGGTTTATATGTGAATTTAGAAGTAGGAGTGACAGTCAGCGCCATCTATAAGCCAAACAACGAGTGTGAAAACACTCTTATTCGCATGTTTGGCGTCACGTCGCACGTGAACTTATTATGAGCGGGCAGCTGATTAATTGTCCTTCTTATACAACCTAAACACACCAAGTCTGCCAGTACGAGACCCTCGTTCAATGAAATAAGGGAGAGAAGTGTATACCTAAGGGCTCGTATTTCCGTGTTTTTAACACAATATTAATCAGATATAACAGACAGTAATGCCAAGGAATGTACAGGGGAAGTTATTAGAACCAATGGAATGTAAATAAGAAGAAGGAAAAGTGGATGTAAAAATAACCAGCCGTGAGCAGGAATCGAACCTACGACCTTCGAATAACGCGTTCGATGCTCTAACCACTGAGCTATCACAGCGGCCGTCCCCCCATCCACTTTTTGGGGTTTATATGTGAATTTAGAAGTAGGAGTGACAGTCAGCGCCATATATATATATATATATATATATATATATATATATATATATATATATATATATATATATATATATATATGAAATAGATGATCAGAGTTTCTTCCGGCTACCGTAATAAAAGTTATAAACTTCGAGAATAGTGCAGTACAGGAAACAAAACAATAAAATATTTATTTAATCCTAACAGTTTCGGCTGGTGGACCAGCCTTCTTCGGAGGAGCTAAGTGAAATGGTACAAGTTCCCGTAGCAGAGGGTCACCCTCACAGTTTGAAGACCCTCCAAAACGATCAAAAAAAAAAAAAAAAAAACGGGCGAACGAGGTAGCAACAGACAACAAGAAGCAGAAGAAGGAGAGGAACTAGAAAGGAGCGACGGAGAACCGCCGGAAACGAGCGGGTAATTCTGGCATTGTTACTGGGTGTAGGTAAGACGCGCCGCCAGCGGAGGCGACCAAGAAAAACGGAACAATGTGAAACATGTTGCCGCTTACTCGCATCCCACACATGGATCGAGTTTAAGTTCACGTGGTTCGGCGGCTGGCCCGAGGCATCGGGCCACACACACACACACACACAAGAAGCAGACGACCCGCTCCAGCTTTCGGAAAATCATGGCCACGTTGGAAAGCTAATGTGCCCTCTCCCCCTCCCTTCACCTGCCCTCTCTTGCAGAAAACTGTACAACCAGTCATACTGAAAATAAATGAATGGGTATTCTCGTAAAGGATGAACAAACAAAAACGTAAACAAAAAATTAAAATTAAATAATACTAAAAAAGTAGTCAGAAATGAAAATAAAGTCTTATAATACTAACACACGCCGTTTGGTTCACGTAGCATCGAATTCGTTTAGTTTCACGCGCTATATTGACCAACTTACGTGTGCGACTTCACGTATGTATAAATAAATTAATTGAGTAATTCAATTTCTGCGTTTCACGAAACGCCGCGGAGGCACGTCAGTCGCCCAGGGCTCTCGTTGATTCCGTGGGTAAGTGGTCTGAATTTCTTTGTGAAGTATGACTCCCGCTGTTCGCGCTCCCGTGTGTTCTGGAAGCCGGATTGTAGGAGTATGACACTTACGCGTTCGAAAGAGTGACCAGGAAGATTGATATGTTTGGAGAACGGCAAATTGGGGAGGCCCTTTACGTGTGCCCTGTGGTTGTTGAAACGCAAACGGAACGTGGTTTCCGTGTGTCCAATATATTCCTGTTTGCACACCTCACAGCGAATTTTGTATACCACATTGGCTGAGTCACAGTTAAGGTCTTCTTTAATTTTGTACACATAGTCTGAACAGGAGGCTTCGGCCGTATCTGTGGTCACCATGTGTGTGCACACCCTGCAGCGAGGTTTCCCGCACGGTCTACAGCCCTGATGGTGGTCGGATTTGTGTGTTTTCGCCCTGACCAGTAAGTCTCTCAGGTTTTCATTTCTTCGGTAAACCACCTTGGGCGGAGTCTGAAAAACGGCAGAGAGGCGACTACTCTGTTTAAGTATGTTGAAGTGGCGGATTAGTATAGAATTCACCCGAGGGGCAGCGGCGGAGCATGTGAGGATTAAATTTGCCCCTGAAGTTATATCATCTTTATTCCCGCCTTTTTCTCCCATTGTTGATTCTCCGTCCAAAGAGCGAGCGCGCTCAATTGCATTGTCAATTATTTTTTCGGGGTACTTTTGACGCAAGAAGGCTGTTCTCAATCCCTGTGCGTGGGTGTCAAATTGCGTGATTTCAGAGCAAATTTTTCTGTATCTGTGGGCTTGAGAGTAAGGAACACCTATTTTGCAGTGATGGGGGTGACTGCTATGGAAATGCAGATACTGTTGGCGGTCAGTTGGTTTTTTATACAGGGAAGTAGATATGGTGGTGCCACTGAGTGATACAGTGACATCTGAGAAAGTGAACACTCTTCTGCGAATACGCGTGCGTGAATGTTATCGAAGGATGCAGGGAGGTGAAACCGGAAATGAATTTGGAAAGATTATGTTCACTATCGGCCCACACGAAGAATATATCATCGAGGAAGCGTCGGTAAAATATAGGTTTGAATGGAGAATTTTCGAGGAAACGAATCTCCAAAGAGGCCATGAAAATATTTGCGTAATTTGGGGCCATCTTGCTTCTCATGGCAGTCCCGTTTACTTGCAGATAATGTTTCTGGTCGAATTCATTGTTATTATGTTTAAGTACAAGATTTCGGAGCACCTCTAAAGCGCTTTCGTCGAACTCACTCGTCGATTTACTTTTTCCATAGGCGGCGACTGTGGCGGCGATTCCTTCGGTGTGGGGAATGTTTGTGTACAGTGATGAGACATCCATGGTGACCAAATAGCACTCTAGAGGTACCACAAGTTTTGAGACTTCTTGAAGGAAGTGACTGGTATCTTTGATGTATGATGGGAATGATTGTGGGATGTGCCTAATCAGAGAGTCAATGAAACTACAGCACTCTAGAGGTACCACAAGTTTTGAGACTTCTCGAAGGAAGTGGCTGGTATCTTTGATGTATGATGGGAATGATTGTGGGATGTGCATAATCAGAGAGTCAATGAAACTAGAGATTTTTTCAGTAGCAGTACCGTTGCTGGAAACTATGGGTCGGCCGGGATTGTTAATCTTGTGAATTTTGGGTAGTAAATAGAAACGCCCGGGAGACGATTTGCCAGGTGACATCATTTTAAGCATAGGGTAGGTTATCTTACCACTTATACGTAATGATATTAGTGAGGCCTTAATAGTACTTTCATACTCCTCTGTCGGATCACAAGGGAGTTGTTTATAGAAATTTTCATGTGCCAGTTGGCGAAGCCCTTCTTTAATGTAGTCAGTCCTGTCGAGTACAACCACAGCACCACCCTTATCAGCTGGTTTAATAACGATGCTCTGGCTGTCACTTAAACTGCGCAAAGCCTCCTGCTCCTTTTTGGACAGATTGTTGCGAATGGGTCGGTGCTTTTCATA